ACATTGTGTTATTTTAATGAGTAAGCACAATTTTTTTTACGATTTGGTCTTTCGGCTTCCTCATAAGCTCAGATATGTTCAGCAGTTTATTTTATTGATTGATAGCTCATACCACAATCATTCAATTACCTTACGTTGGTATCTGAGTCAAGTAAAGACACGCTTACCCGAAGTGCCCAATGAAAGTTGGACCGTGTCATTACTCCGAACAGTCCCGCATATGTACATTTGTCTCCTTAATTAGTTGTGAGCTATTATGAACTTAAGACTCTTCTATATTTATAAAAACGTTGTGTGCGATAGACTTACCTCCACATGGTGCACCCTGGGCAATGTATACTCATACTGCAAAAAAGTCAATCAACCGGCAGTTGACTTCCGTCTTCAAACTACCATGACCCCACTGTATGTCATATTTCACCACTTCCATAATGCTCATAATAGTCATCGATCCTTCTAGCATATTAATAGTATAAACGTAGTCCACTCTATTGAAGGTAGGAAAAGTGTAATGGACTCTTATAATAACCTATTATACAACTATGCATGCACAAAATCAATGGAATTCCATTAACAACTATCTGGAGAAATGAAACGATACCATAGAGTCTCTTATAGTTAGATGGTCATAGGTGTGGAGCTCACAACACTGTCATCGCTGAACAAAGGAACCTCATGCGCACTCAGACAGGCTCAAAGATGTGGCCGCGCTATTTGCCACGCAGGGGGGGGGGGAAGTATGGTCGTGAGCTCAGGGACCCCACAGCCAACCGACAAACAAACCCTCCATTGTAGTATAGTGACTAAGCTCCCTGTCTGTAACCCACACCTCAAATAAATGTATTCCACAGAATACGTGAGTTCCCTTTATAGCTCAACGGTACCTTAGCCAGTCCTGGGACCCTTTCCAAACCTTGAGAACATGCCAGCTTATTACTGAGCATTAGCCATGGCTTATTAGTGTAGAAATTCGCTGCAGGGCCCACCACACTTTCTGTTGATCAATGCCGTCATCCAATTTCATTACTGGATACAAGATAGTGAACACTGGCGATCTCATGATTTTAATGACATGTATATTCACTGCTGTGCCACTAATATATAATTATTTTGACTTATTTCTTCATTGAATCCGGTTGAACAATTCACCGACCTCTAGAGATGAGCCATGGTTCATGATCAATGCATTTCCAGACTATGGTTCGAAGAAATATATCCTCATAACTCCCTGTAAATAAATGCCAGTATTTACCAAGTACCATCCACCACTCTTGATCGAGACAAAAATTTAAATCTCCACTAATTTTTTTTAAAATAACAATTCTTTATCGTCTAGAGTTTGAAACACTTAACCGGTTTGCGGACATGTGATTAGAAGTGCGTTTAGTTGTTTTAAGTTACATCGAGGATAAGTTTAAAGCTAGTCCACTCTTTGAGTCAACACAAAACCGGTGTTATTTGCGGTGAAAGGGACACACACAAATTTTTAAAACGAAAGAATTTTTTTGTAATTATTTCAAGGTATTCACTCGAAAGCCGAAATATAATTGTACTTTCAAGTGCCCCTAAAAGTTCAATTGAATAACTCTATCAGAAAGTAGAGCAGTGCTTTTCATAAAGTCCATGCAAAATAGAATTTTAATTTTCTCAACATACAAGTAAACTATTGACTTATTTTTAGAACGGCAATTCTATAATCAAGAAAATATAATTTTATTCCAATTGATAAAGTAAATTGTTCAGATAAGTATTTATGACAAAACCTCTTAGTAGCAATCTTTTCAACGGCTTTTCAACGCTTAGATCATAATTTTCAGCTGATTGGGTGGTTGAGCGATAGTTCTTTGTTGATGTAGGACATGTTCGACTTCACTAGGTTCGTCCATTACCTCTCTGCGAAGGCATTCCATTAACTCAGGCCAAATATGTTTTAAAATCACTATCACACTATTTAACAAATCCCTTCTCTTGGCTTCGGGGGAAGTTGCCGCAGATTGTCGTTCCATAATGAACTCCACATCAACTGGTGAAAGTTCTTTTGCAATAGCTGACATAGGTGTCTCAATAATAACTTCTTCTTTCCTAGTTTCCTGGCAGTCGGTTTGCAAAACAGATACCTTGGCCAAATTCTCCATACCATCTAAATAAATTCGCATTTTATGCTGAGTCGATTCTGGTGACGCAAGTTCAACATTGGAGTCCTCACCCAGAGCTACACATTGTCCCATGGGGAGAACGAGATCAGGGTATAGCTCCTCTGCTATCTTCTCTAAGCTCTCTTTAATTGGTCCCAAAGCCGTCAAGTTACCGATCTCTGTCGCAGCATACTTTAGTGAGTCATTTGTACTTTCTAAAGCCTTTTCAGTTGCGAATGGTTCAGAAACGTTCGATAACTGCCTTGGAGCTGTGCCACAATGTTCAATATCTGTTCTTCTCTGTTCCTCGAGTTCCCCCAAATCGGGTTGGCGGAGTTTAGTAAGTTGAAGCAAGCACTGCTGCAGGAGCTCCCTTTCCTTTCCATTTTCATGTTTTTCAACTACAGGGAGAGTACCGTGATCAGCATTTAGATTATTTTCATTTTCCAAGTATTCTATCATAAGTTTGGCCAATTCAGGTTGGTAGATCTTTGTTAACTGTAAAATGTAGTTCTGTAGGAGTTTCTTTTCTTTCTCTATTTCATGTAAATCAGAAGATGTAGAAGATATCTTCCTTCCTTGAGATTGTTCTACTTTTTCCATACATGCTCCTAGACATCTTGCTAACTCCGGATGATTCTGTTTTGCAAATTCCAGTAGGCATAAGTCTAGGTCTTTGCCACCGCTGTCTACAGGGGGTTGAACAAACGATGCCCGTTTATTTGAAAGTTGATCCAATTTTTCCACACACTTAGCTATGCATACGCCCAATTCTGGTTGATATTTTTCAGTGAATCGCAGTAAACATTCATACAATTGAACACCTTTCTTTGCATCCTCTACCATTGGAGATCTTTTCATTGGCTCCATATCTTGAAATAGGGGTTTGAATGGTTCATTCTCCGAACTTTCATGCTTATCAACGCATTTTACAATGATTTTGGTTAGCTTTGGATGATATTGCTCTGCAATTGGGTGCATATAGGTTTGACGCTCTGATTCTCTCTGTGCAATTACTTCTCTTCCATTTGATCTGAGACTAATTTCCATGGGTTGTGTAGAAGCGGTTGGAAGAGTAGTTGGTTCTGCCGGTTGTGTTTGCCCTTGAGGTTGTCTTAACTCTGTTGGATACCTATTGATGGAACAGGTGAATTCTGGATAATGATTTTCTGCAAATCGCACCAAGGGAACCTTTAAATCCTGTTCGGTATCGTAAAATTTGCTTTGGGAATGTGGAAGAAAGAATTCAGCTGGTGGACTTTTGGGCATAATAAGGGACGTTTGCTTTGAATTTCTCTGTGTAATTGGTTCACTAGTGAATTGGAGTTCTTCGGGTTTCTCTGCGTACTCGCCATTGCTTTTAGTTAAATCAGGACGATATTTATCTGGAAATTGAAGTAAGCGATTTTGCAATTGCCGTCTCTTAAAGGGACCTTCAGGGGATGGACAAGAAGCAGGTAAAGAATTACGACTATGCAGACCATTTGCATAACTAGGGTGGTACAACTCAGGTCCTCTGACTAAATGGTTATTCGTCTGCTTTCTTTCCTCTGACACTGGCATTGGCTCTGAAGTATGAGAAAGAAGAGGTGACTTAACTGTAGGGTCGACTGATGGTAAAGGCTGCATCTGGTTCCTTTCCTCTACGCAGTTATCAATACATTTAGCCAAGTCTGGATGATATTTCCTGGCAAGATCCAGAAGACAGTTCTTTAGATGATCATCTTTACTGGAATTACTACGATTATTTAGTGAACTGGCTACTGGCAGCTTCGGCGTTAAGTCTTCTTTAACACGCTCCAGTTTAGTTGCAGGTTTTAATGGCTCCTTCCCGGTCACTGATTCTGGCTTCTCAATTAAAGTTTTTGGAACGGTTTCAGGCTTCCTGGAATTCTCCTTAGATTGCTCTAGCATTTCAGCACATGTTTGGAGCATTTTAGCCATGTCTGGATAATACTTTTCCGTAAAAAGTACCAGACACTTTCTTAGGCGTTTTTCGACATCCTCTGCCGGTATGGCTTCACCGGCGGTAGTGGTCGACCTCATCTCTTCTCTAAAAAAAATTAAAATATATATTCAATATATATTAAACGAAGTACAATTAATCCTTTTTATATTTGTTTCCAATCCTCGTGACAACGGAGAGGAAATTTTCTAAGTGCACTTTCTATAACCTAAACCAAGTGCAAACACTAAAGACTCCACACTCCCGTGCAAAAAAACGTACTTGAAGGGGGACCGAATTTCCAGATTTACAATAGTTGTCTTTTATAAATATTTTTTGCATATTCATTATATTTATTCCCTTCCTAGGACACTGAAGAAATTTATTTGCAAATATTTGTACCAATTAACAGACAGGCTCATCTCAAATAACAATGCTTTCTACTCATTGGCTGTGTAAATTACACTGATTATTTCCCAATACAATACGAAGACCATGTCCAATTGCCTTCAATGCCAATTTATTTTCGGTTAGTGGTCAAAAAGCTCCTTTAAAAAGTGCCTTAAGTACACATGGGATATAACATTAAATAAGCATGGATGTGGGTCACAACTCCAACTCGTTTAAAGTTTGTCCCGATATATCTCGCTTTAAAGGCATAAATTTTAGCTATTAGTATATTATCCCCTTCCAATAGGTTCATCAGAGAGGAATAGCAGAGTATCTTATGTTCCTTGCCCTTTAGACATACCATAAGCTATTCCTTACTCTAACTACTTATGGAGAAGTGGGGTCAGTGATCAGAAGTTCTAGTGGGATGAAAAAATGTTCAGGAGGAACACCTGGTTTGCCTGGGATCGTACTTGATTAGCCTCCCTACGTGAGGGACTAAACTTAAGAATGGAGAGAGCTGGGGGGGGGGGTACAAAGAAATAGTGTCACCGTGCCATCACCTATTAATTTATATCAAATGGCAGGCGTTTCGATAGTTATCATTAACCCTTTAGCTGACCTCGGGCTTCACAGAGGGGAGAAACATCAAAGTGAGGAAAATTCGAGAGGGGGAACAGAAAAGTGATTCAAGAATGTAAAAGAGATAGACTAACACAAAGGCAGAGAAAAGATAAGGTGAGTATTATGGAAGTGGTGGAATATGACATACAGCGGGGACATGGTAGTTTGAAGACAGAAGTCAAGTGGTTGTTTATAGACTTTTTTGCTGTACGAGTATACGTTACCCAGGGTGCACATCGTGGAGGTAAGTCTATCGCACACCCCCATCGTGCCATCATGCAAACTGCTTAAATAGGGATGTGCATCATGGTGTCTCAAATGTACTTCTGATGAGTACGTGAAATGTCCAATCCCTAGGAGCATGGGAAAAATAATTGGTAATAGAACATGGGACGATTACATGCCCAAAATAGACTAGTAGAATTTACCTAACGAAAAAATCACGCATTACCTATCCTATTCAAACTAATTACATGCAATTTCTACTTCTTGTGTGAAATGACTAGAAGGATAAATTTGTTTCTCTCTTTGTTTCCAAATTTGGCTGTGGGTGGTGACTAAACTTCACAGTCTTTCAACCATTTGCTTTTGACTATATTATGACAGCCAAAAATAAATTTGCCGGAATAACAGTAATTGATTTCATCAGGTTGTACGGACTAATGAATAGGAATCAAATCGGGGAAGATAAGACGTTAGTTACCAGCTGGCAGCAAATAACAGCTCCAAAGAGTAGAATATAGCGTTGACCGAAGTGCACTGTATGTTTTACGGCAAGGATGGGAGGGAATAACAGAAAGAAGAGATGAGAGTATAGGTCACAGGTCAAGTAAAAAGATATGTGCTTGTCTTCGTGAAAATAGGGAATAAACTAAGTATACTCGACACTCGGGCAAGGGCACCAGTGAACATATGAGTTCAGGTGTATGTTAATATGAAGCAGACAATTGTTTAAAAAAGGTGAAATGGTAGTCTCGTAAAGATATGAAGGATTTATTTATATCAACTGACAGGTTTTATGATAGTTATCATTAGCCTTTAGTTGAACTCGGGCTTCACAGAGTGGAGGAACTTCAAAATCGCACAAAGTCGAAAGGGTGGGGAGAGGGAACGGGAGTGTGTGGAATAGAAGAAGGTAAGGTGAGTACTGTAGAAGTGGTTGAATATGACATACAGTGGGGTCGTGATAGTTTGAAGTCAGAAGTCAAATGTCGATTAGTAGACTTTTTGCCGTGTGAGTGTACGTTGCCCAGGGTGCATCACGTAGAGGTAAGTCTATCGCGCACTCCTAGATATGAAAGATAGGATTCTGAGTTATGGACACATTACTGACTAAAAAATGGCAATACTCGATAGAATGTGACTAGAGTAAATTTTCTACATCCAGCGAGTAGACCTTCAGATCGTAATATAGTGCATGTTAATCAAAATCTCAACATAACTTACATGCTTTTAATCATTAAACAAAAACACAACTCTTTTAGTTTATAATAACATTAAGCCTCGTTTTATACGCTTATGCATTGATGTATTAAGAATGGATTTCCCACCAGTGAGTCTGCCTAAATGCTATAGTTATCGCAACTATAATTGGAATCGTCTGTGCTGTGAAACGAGTTCTTGCTCGAAATATTCACATCTCATGACTTTTACTCACGTGTCTCAATTTTTCCCTACCTCTCGCCCTTATTTATCTCGGTGACATTTCATCGTATCCGGGTAGTCTGTTCTTAAGATAAAATCCTATTTAGTTGAAACTGTTTTTTGTACTTAAAAAAAGGACACTTCAACTTTTAGAGTCAAGTGGGGCATATTTACAAATCCGATTTTATCTGATGCCAAAGGAGGACTTATTGTACATATTTGAATATATAATATATTACTATTTTCACTTTGTGATTTTATACTTACAACTTGGGGTGTGCTATAGACTTACCTACACGTGGTGCACCCCGGGCAACGTATACTCATACGGCAAAAAGTCTATTAATCGGCAGTTGACTTCTCACTTCAATTACCATGATCTATTAACTGGCAGTTGACTTCTCTATGTCATATTCGGTCTATTAATCGGCAGTTGACTTCTCACTTTAAACTACCAGAACACCCCACTGTGTCATATTCGACTACTCACAGTACTCACCTCACCTTTTTCCTACCTTTGTGCCTGTCTCTTCTACATCTTTGAATCACTCTTCTGTTCCCCCCTCCCCACCATCTCGACTTTTTTTCTCTTTGATGTTCCTTCCCCTCTGTGAAGCCTGAAGTCAACTAAAGGGCAAATGATAACTATCATAATGCCTGCCATTTGATATAAATATATAAATATACTTACAGCTTAGAAAGGCCAACAAGTTTGAAATAAGACATATTTGGTTGTGGGTGCATAAATGCTTTCTACGACTGTCAATTTGAGATATAAAATTGGTAGATTTTTTTCCCACAATGTGATCATTATGGAGACATGGCAATCGACTAACTCCATTTGATTAGAACTATGAGAAGAGGACAACCTTGATTTTAAGCAGTCCAAATTGTGTTCAATTAGTGTGCTAGAAATGGAATATCAGCTGATATATGGATTGAGTGAAACGGCCTACTGTATAAAGATCTAAGAATGAATCACACACATAGGAAACTGGTTGAAACTCCCCTTATCAAGCAACGAATCAACATGAGAATGGAATCACGGCCAGTTAAAGCATGACCGATTGAATTTTGGTTCATTAACCGCAATCAAAACGAAAGGAAATAAACTTCACACAACTGATTGAATTCTTTATTACTTTATGTGTCTAGACGCGTTGCGCTAGCGAAAGATAGTTAATCCCTTAAACTTTACAAAAGTGACCCAAAACTGTGGAATACGCCATTAAAACTCAAAATGGATATTACTTATTTAATGTAATTTTCCATATACTATTGCGATAAATATGTTGCGATGACTTTCAATGAAACAGTTACCCTTTTCTTGCTTAGATTAATAACTTAATGAAAGAAAGCAATTATTGTGAGTTATTTCGATCTAAATATATGCAGAGCCCAAGCTGGAGTAATTGGCGGAAGATATTGAATATCCTTTTGTTATAAAAAGATACAACGTATAAGTCTGAGGCAAGCGGGACGTTAAAGACGGTACCAGTAAAGGGGACCACTGCATAAATTTTATCCGTTTAATATCAAATTTGAGAACTAGTGTATTTGGTAAATCCCGGTCGCATTCGCTTTGCAAGATTCCCAAAAATTGCGAGTGACTACGCGTAATGGAAATCATATAAGTAGGCCAACTGGAAGTGAATATGAAGAGAGTGAATATCTGCTGAGTGCTCATCAGCAGAGAGGTGATGAGAACTTACGTGTGAACACAATGTCAACTAAGAAGATGACCATCTCTTCGAGTCCATACATAGGCTAAGAGGGACTGTGATATATCGGTGCGTCCCATTGGCTGAATTGTTTTCGGCTTCTTCCTCATTGGCCAGCTTGAATTAAGCGCGCAAAAAGTCATGCGTGATGGCATGCGAAAGCTGAAGATAGAACCAGAGAAGTCGGTCACTACTTGCAAACTGGTGAGGCCAGATCAAGGTGCGGTTGCTAAACCTTTGGATATCTCCTGTGGAAGTTTAAATATTTTAGCTAAATTCCGTTATTGTATTTAAGAACTTGTATTTCCCTTAGTTTTGTAAGTATTCTAAAAATGTAAAGTTTTCGCTTTACATTCCTTATAATAGGTATTAATTTGGAAAAAATTTTAATAGAGTACTAAAAAATGCAAATTTTGAGACGGTTATCAATATTTAAAAGCAGAAAAACGTAAATAGATCTTTCGACGGGGTATTTCATTTAGAAAGTGTTACGAAATTATGTTTAGTTAAGGATCATTTCTAATTTCGTCCTTACAAGTAATGTTATTGCAGGTCAGTTGTGCATAAAACGATGAGTGGATGACTAAGGCAAGTGCGGCTACGATAGTCATCACGTAGCTATCAAGGGCGGCCGTGCTTACAGAAGCCCTCGATCAAAAAGGGATCAAAGTGCTTACAGCGTAATGTTGATATTACTCAACCACTAATTATCTTTACGTTTAGGTCTCTTCAGGGTGTGTTTTTTGTTCTCTCTTCCCTATTCATAAGCGCAATACCTTTTGGAGAAACTCTAGTTGAGTCTAATTGTGCCTCTCTCTCACACACACAAAATATCGCTTTCAAAATCCCTATAATAATTACCTTATTGGTGTGCTTGTGCATTGGAAAAAGTGAGTTCGATTTTATAGTGCAAAAGGAATGCTAAAAAATTAACTATACTAGATGTAAAATTTCCACGAAATCGTGTTTTATTTCGATTGTTTATTATTAAATTTTTGTATTTCTGAAATTACAACTGACATAAGGAATTTATGTTTATCAAAAAAACGCTTGAGAATAAAAATAATATAACGCAAATCTTCATTTGTATGTCATTTTATTATTAAATTACATTCTAAATTCGTCGAGAAATTATATTTAGAAATTTTTGTTCTGATTTAACCTTGAGTCCCAAGCTAGCCCGAATTAATGGCCTTTTATATCACTTACAATGCTGAAATATTTCATTAATGCAGTATTAGCATTTCGCTCTCCCGGTCTCTCTATTCCTATATTGAAAAGAGTATATTATTAAATAATAAAATTTTTTATAACTATTTCAGAATATCACACTCCTTAGACAAAAATATCCTGAACGTGTACCTTGTTATGTAGCTTTAAATGGGGGTTCTCAGGAGATCACTGTAGAGCAGCAGATATATATCGAGGGGGAAAAAGAAAAGGAAGATCCTATCATTGAAGTTTTGCTTTCCGGCAGTGTACCAGGTATGAAATGTTATCACCATATTTAGATCTCCAATTTACCTCTAACCCAGCTTTAAATATTTATTTACCATTTTAGGCCTTGGGGCGAAAGGCAATCTTGTCAAGATCCACCGCAATAGATTTTGGAATAATCTCTATCTCCGTAAACTCGCTGAACTTCCCACTCCCGAGAGAATCCGTGAACTCCAATCCGAAGTATTTTTTTTGTTAAAAGCCTTTAGCGCGAAATGGCGATGGTCATAACTTGCTTAATTTCCGATAGGATTCGAGTGTTCTATTCGGTCATTCCTATGAGGTTCAACAACGGTTGCTGAATATGACTCTTTACATACCGATGAATCCAAACACTGATTGGACCTTGTCACCTAAGCATGTCATGGTTGCTTTTCGAAGAGTTGTAAGTATGATCTTTAGGGATATCTATTTTTTGATCCTTTTAAGGGTGTCGTGGTTCCTGAAGAAAACATAACGTTGCCGGATAAACCTGTGACATCTTCAACTCTTGAAGAATTCTCAATCAATGTTAATGTAATTTTAATCACTTTCTTTATTTGGTCTATTTAATTTGTATATTTATTAGCTTACTTGACTTGACTTGATTTGATTTCAGATTGAAAACAAGGTGACTGTATCGGTGAAATCTCGTATCTTCTTATACCAACGTTTGGATACGAAGACTACAACGAAACCTCCTTCAGACTGCTTCCGGAAAATCCGTCTCGACGACTGGACTTCAGACTTCAATGAAGACGAATTGCGTTTGCTACCGGGTTTTACGAATGCACCCTATCGAAACTAGCCTTAATCTTTGTACACATAGATTTTTTTAGTAAATGCACAAATATTTATTTGATATTTAATCTAATGTGTTTGCTTTTCGTGTGCGACTATAGTATAGATAAGGATGCTTAAAATTGACGTTGTGTGGTATTATAGCCTGTCTTACGTGAGTTCTGTCGTTTCTCTTCAAATGCTGCCAAGGCCCGAATTCAGACGCTGTACTGCTTTCAGCGCGAGAAAGGATGGTCGAAAAGATGCAGAGTAAGGGATACCATTCGCTTTATTTGTTTTTTTTCATTAACTTAGGATTCTAGTTTGTATGTTTGAATATTGGTTGCGCCTCTTGTTAAGTCACCGCTTACTGAAGCTGCCAGGTTTCAAGAATCGGCTCTTTGAACTTCACAGAAAGGAGTAAAGAGACTGCATTTTGAAAAAGGAGGACTAGTTAAAATTTGAAGGTATGCCCGTACTCGGGGAGGATGATTCGTTTCCAGAGTAGGGGGAAGCTCAGCAGTAAGGAAAGGCATTTGGTAGCATAGGCTTCGGTTGGCCCTTTCGTGCTTCATTGAATTTGAGTTTAATAGATGAAGATTCGACAAGTTTTTTGGGTGGATTTTCGAAAATAATTTCATAAAAGCTTTCAATGTTGTTTCTATTTACTCTTTTTTAATAGCTAATTGGTTAATTTCACCTCGAGATTGGAATGTATGCTTGTGTTTAGATATTCGTTCTCGTTATGAATATGTTTGCTTTTGTGCTTGCATTCTCTCTCAAATTTATTCAAAAGAATGAATATTAAATTTCGCTAAATTAGCTCCTTTGATCATCACGTGTCCGTGATGTCCGAGACCGCATAATCTAGTGAGTCCAACTTTGTAAGTAGTCACCAAGATTTCTGGTGGAATGTAAGAACTGTTCTAAAGTGCATCTTCACTCTATCTCTGAAGATATTTTGGCATACTAATCTTGTTATTTTGTTCTATCTTCTTTCACTTGAAAAAAAATTCTTGCATTTATCCTTGCATCCATACTTGACATTTATATTTATATACTTATTGGTGATTTTTACTTGTCCTTTTATTAAAATTCTATTTAGAAAATTACCCTGAGTCCAGCCAATCAAACAGCGCTAAAACACTTTGATAGGTACTACACTCATATCTGTGGAGCTACAGCATGGTGTGGTATTCGAGCGGCGCTTCTGACTCCACCTGCCAAAGTAGCTATTCTCAATGCCGTTAATCCAGGTCTTCAGCAATGTCTTGACGAATTCTATTCAAAAAACTACCTCGATCTATTCACGGAGTTGACTAAACCGATTGCGGGCGCTCAAACTTCTCAGAAAACCCAACCGACTCCTCCTCAAAAACATAAATATGAGCCTGATTCGCTCTTCCCCAATCGACAATTTCTCATACGAGAAGATGCTATCTCTGATCAGTTGTCAGAATTCGTTCCGGCAACAGAATTCATAGGAGAAAGAGTGATTTATACGAGGGACTCGGACAAGGGATACGTACTGCAAAGCGATTTGGATTTTATGATGTCAGGTACTATTGATTTCACAGTTTTGAAAGAGGATAATAACTGGATTGAATCATTCAAAAAATTGAAATGCTTGGTCTTGCCGACTGGAACATTTTCAGAACTGCCCAGACCAAAGTATGATGGGAATTGTTATGGTAAATAAAATAACTTAACACATTGTTACTGTAATCTATTAAGTAGTGAGGTATTTATAATGTATGCTATTTGCTAGATTTTTATCCGCTGGACTTGGGTTCAGTGTTGGCTGTTCTATTACTCGATGTTCAACCAGAAGCCCGCATGTTGGATTTATGCTCAGCTCCTGGTGGAAAAGCTGTAGTATCTTTGCAGACACTCAATTTAAGTAAGTTTGTTATTATTTTTCAGCCGAAGTAAAAATATCATACTTTATAAACGTGATGATGGGTTCTAGTGGACTGACATCTGTATCAGAATTGGACTACTTTATTCGTCCACTTTTCAAAATATGAAATTTGTGTGGCTTTAATGTCTAAGTTCTGCTTATCAGAATGAATGATTCATCTAATCATCTCTATGCCTTCGTTTTCTAGACCCGTGATAGTCTATGCGAACTTACGTAATTAACTTGTCAATATGTACTCAATGCTTACCGTTAGCTGCATACAAGTTGGGTGGTTTTCTAAGTAGATATAAATAAGTCATTCAGCTGTGTTATAATATGCATTCTCTTCAATATCTTTGTTAAAAGTTAGTTTTTATGATCATTTCAAGCGCTTATTCAGTTTAGATCTTCGTGTCCCAAAGTCACCCTGTCTTATGATGAAGACATTTGTTCAAAGATTTTCAGCTGTCCCAAATTTCCTTGCTCTTGTCCGATTATATTATGAATAATATTTTGATATGTGGAAACTGTTCAGTGTCTGCACCGATGAAGCTTTGAATCACCTTCTCATCAGTTGCTAGGACTTTAGTGTCCATCACATAAATTCAAAAAAAGTTGAGTATGACCAATTAAGGATGTGTGGTTGAGTTTAAGATTCTTACTAGGAAAGTTTCATAATATAGCGCCTCTCCCCTCCCCTCCACCACCCCTGCCCAGGATGAGTGCAGGAAAATTCATATTTAACTGTCTGGGAGTTATTTAATTTTCTTCAATTAGCAAAGTTTTTTTTCAATAGTAAATGCAATTTTGCTTTAGTTAATCTCATTTTCACCATCAAAAGACTGGCATTTTATGACACCACAACCAGCCTTTGTATTTTTAGCACTTTGGCTAAGAGTGCATTCGTGGTAAGCCCAAATTACTTTTTCTTTGTTTTTTTACGAATACTGATCATTAATGTATGCCAATGTGGGCCATTTTGTAGAAATGCCCAGCGAACTCGCTTACCAATGTGACGAAAGTTTGGGCGAAGCATCTAGGATTAAGAATAGTACTTTATAATCCCCCACGATAAACCGAAATATTTGTGCAACGTGTGAGACTGTGAAAGCATTCAAACGAAGTGATAAAGTGAAAGGAAAGAATGAGATCAGACGCCCCTCTTCACTTGCAATCTTAAATCAACACAATTGCTGATTACATTTCGCTGTGACCATGTCCCTGTGTTTCAAAGAACCGGCCAAATAGTAGGAGGGGTTGAGTTTGTGACCTTGTTGCCCTCTGCTTCCTCTTAACAACCAAAGTGAGACCTTAGACAGTCGTGTTCATAGCATAATTGGTCACAAATGACCAAGATTCAACCACAATATTTCTTTACTAATAGGAGTGTCTAATTCGCATTTTCCTTGCGGAATAGATTTGGGCAACTTTAAATAATCAATTTTGTTGATCTATTGTTATTCAATAGTTTCGTCATTAATTCAGGACTTCAGGAAAAAATAGGCAATTTGGTTATTAGGACTATTTATCCCTACTCTTCAGTTCGGGTAATTTACTTCCAAATAAGTGACATTTCTACCTTACTTTAGTCCGTCTATAATTATTTTCTCTTTTTCTTTCCTTTCAAATATTTATTTATTTCAAACGACAGGAATTTTAATAGTTATCATTAGCCCTTTAGTTGACTTCGGGCTTCACAGAAGGGAGGAACATCAAAGTGAGAAAAATTCGACAAGGGAAAAGAAGAGCGTTTCACAGATGTAAAAGAGACAGACAGACACAAAGGCAGAGAAAAGGCTAGATGAGTACTGTGGAAGGGGTCGAATTTGACCTACAATGGGGTGATGGTAGTTTGGAGTCTGAAGTCAACTGCCGGTTAATAGACTTGTTTTGCCGTATGAGTATACGTTGCCCAGGGTGCACCACGTGGAGGTAAGTCTATCGCACACCCCTCCTTTCAAATATTATCCTTTTTCATTCATTTTCGCTACTCTCTATTTCGGAATCATGCCACCAACGCACCAAAAAGGTAGTTCAACACCATTACTATGGTCTCATAACCCCCTAGTCAATTTGGAGTATTTCTTTTTCTAAATACTTATCCTAAGCAATGAGACAGTATTCTAGAGTCCCCTTGACGGAAAAAATTAAAACTACCACCCAATTTATTTACCAAATTTGACCTTTGTAGTTGAGCACTCGTCTCACAAGGTACGCATCAATAGATACGCATCTCGAGATATCCGACTTCACTGACGCACATTATTTCAAAATAGATAAACATAGACAC